ACGGCCCCACACACAGTCTCACCTCTGTGTTATGGTGTCCAAATGTCCTCTCTACAAGGACCCCAGTCATGTCACTCAGTGCCCGCCCGCGTGACCTCACCTCACTCACTTCTGCGAAGCCCCTGTCCCCCCAGTCTAGGGCCTGGCCGTCAGAATTCAACAAGAGAGGCCCGGGGAGCGCGATGCAACCGCGACAGTCTCTGCGACTCTCACAGCTGAGTCTTGGTCTCTTCCCGTCTGTGTCTCCCTGTCTCTGCCTGTCTGTCTGTCTGTGCCTGTGGCTCCTTCTCTCCCGCCTTTGCCTCCTCAGCTCTCTCCCTTCCCCTGCTCCCTGCTCTCCACCCTCCCGCTCTCCCACGCGGGACTCACCCCGAGTCCAGTCCTGCCCCATCCTTTCCCAGCGGGGCGACCCTGCGTGCCCAGCTCTCCCTCCCTGGCTTCCGTGTCCCCTAAAACTCGGCGTGACCAGCACGGAAGAGCGGAGTGGACTCTTCAGAGCGTCTGAGTCCATCCTCATCCCACCCTCATCTCAGCCCTGGGTGGGCCACAGCCCGGAGGCCCAGAGAGGGCCACTGCCTTGCCCCAGGCCACACAGCCAGGGGGGCAGAGTGTCTCCAGGGCCCGGTTTTTTCCACTCGCCCCTGTGCGGGGGCGGGGAGCCAGCTGGCGGCCGGGCCTGGGGGACCGCAGGGGTGGGGAGATCCGCCCAGGCTCCCAGAGGGCAGCGTCCAGCGCTTCGGAACACAGCTGCGGGCGGACTCAGAGTTTCCACCCCACGTGGTGCGGGGAGGGAGAGGGGGCCGCTGCAGGCCTGTTTTTCTGCACTGAGCACTCACATGTCGTCCCAGGCTCCCTGTGGCTGTGACACGCGATCGCCTCTCTGAGTTCCCACTTTGTGGGAGGCAGGTCGTATGAGCCCCACTTTGCACGCGAGGAAATGGAGGCTCCCAAAGCCTGGCGCTTGCTCGAGGTCACACAACTAGGACTCTGACTCAGAAACCTCCCCCACCCCCCTCAGCCAGGGTGTTGGGGTGTCCCGCCCTCCTGCCTGCCCTCTCCACATGTCGAGCCATGGTCCCAAAGACACCCCCAGCCCCCGCCACAGCCCCGATTGCACAGGGGGCCAGGGACCCCGGAGCAGGGGCTGAGTTTGGGCCCTGCTTCAGCATCTCCTCTCCCTCCAGGCCCGCTCTGGCCCTCGGCTTTTGCACCTGTGAGGTGGGGCTGACCACCCCCGGTCATTGTCCAGCTTGAGGCCAAATGTCAAAGCGGCTGCCTTTTGAAGTCTGCGCCACTGACATCCCCTCCGTGGCCGAGGGAGAGGGTGCGTCTCTCTCCCCGCCCTGAGGCGGGAGGCCAGCCCCCTGGGTGCCCGGGGGATGCCGTTGGCGTTTTCACCCTCTGGTTCTTACTGAGCCTCTTCCTGTTTCCTGGGCGCCAGCGGCTCCTGCTTTTTCAATCGTTTGTTTCTTTCTTTCTTTTTTTTTTAAATATATTTTATTGATTTTTTACAGAGAGGAAGGGAGAGAGATAGAGAGTCAGAAACACCGATGAGAGAGACACATCGATCAGCTGCCTCCTGCACATCTCCTACTGGGGATGTGCCTGCAACCCAGGTACATGCCCTTGACCGGAATCGAACCTGGGACCTTTCAGTCCACAGACCGACGCTCTATCCACTGAGCCAAACCGGTTTTGGCAATTGTTTGTTTCTTTGTTTGCCCTTCTCTTGGGCT